GCGGTGCTTTATTGCCCTCTTCTGTCATAACGTCCTGCTTATGCATGTATATCCATTCACGACAGATGGTCGGTTGGAAAGTTTCGTCTCTCTATCCCATTAGCTTGCTGGCTCGCACCGTCAGTCATTCCCCTCCCACTCTGTGTTTAACCGACTCCCCTGACAGTAACCTTGGCTCTCTAGGGATCGAGTTATTAAAGGCGACTTTAACCAAAGTCGAACTATATTTACTTTGAATTGCAATGCATTAAAGACTTGCTCTCTCTATATATATTTAGTGCATTCTGAAAGCTATGTGAGGCTAAGTTGGAAAGTTCGGAATAAACCAGCCGTTAGCAGATAATCATGACTAACTAACACAGCCTTATTTTACTACTACTATTATTAAAATTATGCTCTACATTGATTATCTGCAGAAAATAGAATTACTAAAGTTAGGTGCAGATGTTTCCACTCTAAATTAATAAAGCGAGTGGTTTGACAATGATGCTCGGTGATACTACAGGAATTGAACCAGAAAAGCCCATCTCATCGGGAGACTACAAAGATCCAAGAGTTGTTTTCATTAATTTACTATTAATGAACTGGGGCGTGCGATAGACTTACCTCCACGTGGTGCACCCTGGGCAACGCATATTCATACGGAAAAAAGTCTATTAACTGGCAGTTGACTTCTCACTTCAAACTACCATCGCGTCACTCTATGCCATATTCGACTATTTTCACAGTGCTCACCTCACCTTTGTTCTACCTTTGTGTTTGTCTCTTACATCTTTGAAACACTCTTCTGTCCTCCCCGCTCTCGAATTTTTCTCACCTTGATGTTCTTCCCCTCTGTGAAGCCTGAAGTCAACTGAAGGGCTAATGATAACTATCAAGACGCCTGCCATTTGATATAAATAAACTATTAATGAACTCAGCCAACAACATAATACATTAACTATACACGCAAGTTTCAGTCAACAGATAACAGCTGTAGATGTTAACCATACCCAGACTTTAGAAACGGGGTTTTGTAAATATGGCATGGAAATTAGGTATAATTAAATTCAATTCAGATCCACCGATTCGAGAGACTTGAATTGCTTTTTTAGCTTATGGGGTGGTTGGGATAGAATTCTCGCACGATATCACGCTCTAATAGCGACATAATTTAGCTCAATTTTGGGTGAATTCTTCTATACAGGAGAATATAAAGAAGCTGGGTAGAACAGTGAGGGGACACTTGAATTTTTAAAATACTCATCACTTAATTTACGCTCCTAGCTACAATTTCTAAATACATTCGCTAACGTTGCAACTTTGATAGAAATTCACTAAATATTGCATTAATCAAATGTCGCACTCATAAATCAATAAAAATACGAACGGATGAAGTGTAGATGGAAAACAGCAGATTCATATACTAATCAAATGGCAACCGAATCTCAGTTTTTCAGTTAAAATTTGCCTTCATTTTTCCCTTTTGATGACCTCATATTTCCTCAGAATATTAAAAAGATTTAGACAAGTGCTCACTTTTTAATGGATTATTTTGATATCCTCTGCTGACGTGAATTGAAGCTGATTGTCTGAACTAGCTATATTTAGGATCGAAATTGAACATGATCGTTATTATTAGAAAATTCTTTATAGCCACCTTTCCTAACTCACTATGAAAACCCCTTTTCAGTCCTAAACTATTAAAAAGTTTAATATATGTCCAAAACAAAAGCAATGGTTTTTTTTGCGATGCTCTTGATTCTGATACTTATTCCAGGTACTTTACGTGACAATTTGTCGTTTGTTTACGCATTTTAAATATGAGTGGCTAATAAATTTTACAGACGAGTTGAGGATTACCCTCGTCAAATAGAGGTGGTTCGATTCCCAACGATAACAGAGAACAGGCATGGCACTGAATACCGAATTTCAAGTTTACCCGACAGCAATGCAGATCCATTTTAAACAAATAGTCTTCATGTGTTGTGTTCAAAGTAGGCAAATGCTTATCTAACCAAGCTGTTACACTATTCTTCTATTCAAATAAATTAAATTGAAGTCATAAATGTTAATATTTTTATTTAAAACATGAAATTCGAAACAATTCTCTATATCAGATGAAAAATTGCATTATAAAATATATTTCGTATAATAACAATTTAATTAAATGAACAATTATATCAGATATTCTTATTAACCTGTAAAGTATTCAATGTATCACATTATAAATGACCATTTTTTAGCAAATAAGCAAAATATGTAATTGTTTACTGCACCTTAAGGTTCGTTGCAATTTCAATTATTCCAATAAATCAGCATTTGTTGCAATGCCAACACAATAATTTACAAATGTCTGTTTAAATCTACTAACGTTGCTACACCTGCCGAAAATATTTCTCTAATTTATGGTGAGATCTTTGAGAATCGTCTATTCACGCAAGCAAAGGGAGAAAAATACGAAGAAAATAGTGGTCTCTGGTTTGACTTCAATTTCCTTGTTATTTATTTTATAATATAAAGAAAAATAAAAATAGTCCGTAGATAAAAATTTCCCACGCAGTGAAGTCGAAAATGGTAAATGAATTTGGCTATTGATATACTATTATACTCGCAAATTCTTTGCGAATGTACATTAGGGAAGTAAAGCTGAAATTGATACGAAGAGAATATGAAGAACTATCGTCGGAATTATCATCGAAAGACAACGGTCAATTTCCCGTTTCATAATACATTTAATAAGATAAATGAGATAGGAATGAAGCAGATCCCTAGAAGAGGTAATTCTTTTTGAGTTTAGAGTAGAGTATTCTTTTATTTTTTAGTCCAGTGATTTATCCTTGAAAATTTCGCACTTTGTTTCTAGAATTACGGTACAAATTTTTGTTCATTATGCTAAATGCCTATTCGTCAATTGATGTGTTACAATTGCCAACAAATATTGCAATAGCTTTACATGTTGATATGTTCCACCATGGCAGAAGTATATCGAAAAGATGTTTGCAAGGACTGCGGTTACGTAAAACCTCGATCACAATCATAAAAAGTCATTAATAAATATCCCATTTACGTTCGATGCACAACTATTTGCAATTCGCTGACTAAAATATGTGCTCATACTCTAGGTACTAACGGATTAGCAATGTCTTCAGAGGACTCCTCAAAAGTACCTCCACAAACTTTTATTCTTCCACAATTCGTCCCTCTCACTCGCGAATCTGCACAATTATCTCTGCAAAGATATGATCGTCAGAAGCGACGGGAAAAGAGAGCCAAAGAGCTTCTGAAGGGTAAGTCGATGTATCTGAAATTCTGCAAAAAGTATGCATAATTGTTACCTAAAACGCTTTTGACATCTCCGAATCGGGATAGTATTTATTCTATCTATTCATTGATATTATAATATGCCAAAATGGTCTCATTAAATAGAAAATGATGCAGCCACCAGCCATGTGGTTAAATTTCTTTGTCCATTAATATTACTTCCGAAGAATTGTATTGTCTATCAACAAGCAAATAACACAAAACCGCTATCAAAATCACAACAGTTAACCTTCAGAGTTGTAATCTTCTATTCATTTCTTGCAAAAAACTCCAAATTCAAAACTGAAAAATCTCGAAAATTATCGACTTGCTTGTCCAAAAACGATCTACGATAATTTAGCCTTGGACAAACAGTTTAATTAATTACACTTTTATAAGAAAAAAATATGCCATTGGATAACTAATGAACTTTAAAATTTTCATTGAAAGGAAAAATGTTGTCCAACGCTGGGTCTTTTTATTGGCTAAAATTGAACGGATATTTTGGCAAAATTAACATTTAAAAAAATTTGCATATTTATTAAAACAAAGTGATAACTAAGAGAGGGTTCTTCATGTACTCAAATATATTTTGCAAGGGCATGATCATCCTCATCACCTAATTTAGAGGGTTCTAGTGAAATTTAAAGATATTCATACTATCAAATCAAATTTTGTCAATTTCAAAAAAATATTTGTCTAACGACGCACCTTTATTCAATGTGCTACTAATCTATTTATTTATTTATATCAAATTGCAGGCATTTTGATAGTTATCATTAGCCCTTTAGTTGACTTCAGGCCTCACAGAGGGGAAGGAACATCAAAGTGAAAAAGTCTTGGGGGGGGGGGAGACAGAAGAGTGATTCAAAGATATAAAAGAGACAGACACATAGGTAGAAAAAAGGTGAGGTGAGTACCGTGGAAGTAGTCGAATATGACATACAGTGGGGTGATGGTGGTTTGGAGTCAGAAGTCAACTGCCAGTCAATAGATTTTTTTGCCGTATGAGTATACGTTGCCCAGGGTGCACCACGTGGAGGTAAGTCTATCACACCCCATGTGCTACTAGTCTAATTGTAAACAAATGGCGAAGCATTTAAATTATGTTATAATGACAGTTGGAAAACTTTCAATTGAGAATCTATCACTTGAAATAAAAAACAATGCGACGTCTTTAATTCAGAAGATGAAGTTATAAGATGGGGATGGCGAAGGTGTCTGTCCCTGCTACTCGGTAGAATCATTCCTTGATCATGAATGGTAATTAAGGAAGAATAAATATAATAAATTCATTAAGTCTCTGTCCAATAAACTGATGGGAATTTCAATGAAATTTGAAATTTCCTTGTCATATATATTGAGGTATATCTTAACTATGACTGTTAGTCTTATTATAGAACGATTTTGGTAAAATTCTAATCAAATTTTTAACAATGACACTTTGGGGAGCCCATAACAAATCCGAGTACTTTGAGTGAATTACAACTGTTTATATAGACCAGAGAAACAGATTTGATGATAGGAGTAAATCGCGCTCAAGTCGAGTGTCTCAAAGGGATGACACCATGTGTTTGGACGCTGAGGCCTTGGATGTCGAAGTAACCAAACACAGATCATTGTTCGAGTAGTTTATTTTGGTTTAACTTGAGGTTTGGAATTGCAAATGGTCCTTAAGCTGATAAACACACACCCTTTCAGAATAAAAACTCCACAAGCACATAAAAATCCTGAAATTTTGAAACTTAACACAATGACCAATAAATGAAATCCAACTTCATCTAACTTTTCATTTTGATAAAAATATGCCCTTAAATTCTCTCTTAAAATGGCGGTTTTATAATTTGAGCCTGTTTTTCAAGCAAATTTAGAAGTTCAGTTGTGAATTATACTGAAGCATAACCAGCTGGTGGCTTCACTTTAGAACAAAAGCGGAAACGGAGGGAATGGATCCGCCAGAAGTCCAATATGGATAATGACAAATCGGAGGTTGAGAATTCAACTTATGTTCCGCATTCCTCCGTTCATGTTGATGAGGGTCTAATAGAACCCAGTTCCGATGACGATGACTCCTTTGAAATGCCAGAAAAGCCTAACCCTATGCTTGTAGTGGGTAAAAAGCTTATTCCCCCACTTGATAGCCGGTTTTGCTCAAAGCGATATACTGGAAGAGCACTTCAAGAAATGGATGATTTCTATCGTTACAAAGGGGTAATTTCGTATTCTTTCAGTTGAGATATACTATTTATTTTATGCTCTTATAAAACTCACTTATTATGAAAAATGGCCTTTACTAGTCGAAATATGCAGCCATGTAAATCTTAACTTGATTAGAATCTTTATCCACTTCAAAACAGCAAGAATTCTTGCAAACGAAGCAAATCTGCTTCATCAGAGAGCTTTAGTTTAGAGCTTCGTGAGCCGAACTTGACAGCCATTATTAACTGTTCAGTCTTGTGAACCTTTTGTCTTCAATTTCGAAAGAGCACCTAAATTATTATATTAAGTTACTAAGATTTAGTCTTACTCTTTCTTTGAGGACCTGAATAAACCTTAGCTACATCGGTTTGCCAATAACGAGTTGGCATTACAATAAAAAACCCTCTGTTTAGTTTCCCATCAGCCGAAACAGGTAATGCTCATAAAATGGATCACCATAATTATATATATGCCATGTTTCTTAGAGACAGACAATCCAAGATCTTCCTGCAAGGAAGAAAGGCGAATAATGTGGATACTTAGAGCTACCGTATTATGAAGGACGAATAAAGTTAAAGTACTGTATTGAAATAGGCGGATGGTAATCATTTGCATGAGCGTACCAGGCCAGACAATAGTTATAAATGAACAAATTGTCCATTTTCCCTGTGCGGTAAAGATCGTTCTCCATTTGTGCTGAATAAAATAGTTTGGACTGGATTCTAAGTCATCAAATAACCATTTAGTGTTTACTTCCTTTTAGAGTTTTGTGGTGATAAGTGGAGATAAAACAATCTACAGATTCAGTCTCTACCCAGCGCTGTCTATATTTGGACCATTCAACCCCATTCGCCGAATTGCTATCTACATTATGGTTCATCCATATCCTTTTTCAAAACCATTATCTTACTACTTATTACATCGATTTCCTTTATTTTGAGATTTTAGTGATGTTAACTTTTGAGGTAATCGGTAATTGGTAATTATAGATTAAACAGGGCATGCATATATTATATTATATTTTCCTATATTTTGTTCCTTTTTATCAATACTATTTTGTTAAAAAATAGTACTTAAACTATGGGAGTATTGCAAAAATAGCTCCTATACAGTTAGATATCACATTTTCCTTAACGTTTGGTTTCCCACTACACATTGTTCAGTATGATTATCCTCTCAGCAATTCTTTGCAATTGTGTTTTCATGGCGTTAAACGACTCTTCAAAAACTGTTGAGTAAGTTTGCAAAGTTTACCATTTGTTGCTATAATTACTTAAATAGAGGCATTATCAGTTGATATTATTTTTGATTTGAATGAATTTACACTAAAAGAGTTATTGACGAAATATGTAGGTTGTTATTTACTATTATTTCACTTGTAAAGAATTTAAATTTAAATAGATATTATTTTTAGACAATCAATCTTAAGTGTCTTTGCTTGATTTACAAAATAAATAACTAAATTTAGACAAATGTCACCATATATATTTTATTATTAAACTTTTACAGAATAACATTTACGGTATTTTACACCTGCGAGGCAATAATTCGCGTTATTGGCCGTGGACTCATACGAAATGAATTCGCATATTTGCGCGATGCGTGGAATTGGTTGGATTTCATCGTCATCACACTGGCGTATGTACCCACAATTCCCTCCCCTCACAATAATAGTTTAATGCCTGTTAATTCATATAGTATTTATTGAATGACAAAGCACTTGGCAGCTTGGATATCTAGCTACCATCATTTGAGCACTCTGCTGATGCCATAAACTCCACCAAAACTCATAATACATGATAATCCTTTCTTTGTTCGATTCAGATATATTATGTTCGTTGTCCCGAGTCTTGGCAATCTATCAGCCCTGCGATCATTGAGAGTTCTTCGAGCGTTGAAGACGGTAACCGCAGTACGAGGTTAGGACTTTGCATACTTTAATCAAATTCGACTAAAATACATAAAGCGAGAGTTGAATGAAGCGGAATTCTTATCTAAGATAGTAGAGCTTTGGGTCATTTTTTGGAAAAATATATATATATATATATATTAATCGGAATGTAAGAACTCATTTTAACATATCTTTTGCCCAATTTAGTCATCATGTGGGGCCAAGGACATATGTCTTCCCCTGTCCATTTCGTCGTATTTGAAAGTTATTTCGCTCATGGAAATGTGTGAAATGTTTGAGAAAATTGACGTTTAAAATGTATCTTTATAGATGAAACTGGATTGCCTGGCCTCAACATACTTTCTTAATTGTAAAATATAAATAGCCCATTTTATTCCATTTGGTGGAAAGTAAGAGAATTTTAAGTTTTCTACAGAGTAAATGGCATTAATTAAAAACAAGGGAGCGGTTAGTGTTTTTGATTAAATTGGTATTCTTATAGTGGCGTTTCCATGATTCAACTTCATGCCGCAACTTAATATATTGACATCAATTAGGGATAAATTTAGCGCGAGAGAGTCAAAATAGCCGTGGAAAACCTCATATATGTTGAAGAGTGGGCGAAATTAATTTGCTAGCTTCAAATGGTAGACGTTTTGGTTGCTTTCATTAGCCCTTTAGCAGACTTCGGGCTTCGCAGAGGAGAGGAATATCAAAATGAGAAAAAGTTGGGAGGGAGAACAGAAGAGCGTTTCACAGGCGTAAAGAAGACAGACAGGCAGGCACAAAGGCCGAGAAAAAGGTAAGATGATTTCTGTGGAAGTGGTCGAATATGACATACAGTGAGGTCATGGTAGCTTGAAGTCAGAAGTCAACTGCCGGTTTATAGCACCACGTGAAGGTAAGTCTATCGCACACCCCATAGTGGGTGGACTTAAACAATACCTTCTAACATATTAGCATGGTTAAGACGTTCGAATTCGTATATATTTATTTAAAAAAAACGCACAGTAATTGGGGGTATCAATTATATATTTATATTCACTTTAATTTAATGAACACAATCGATATTCAGTTTATCAATGATGCTGGAAGGTAGTATTGGATCAAAATATTTAAATTCCTGAAAATTATCTTAGTTGGTAATAAAATTCGAAACACTTAAATAATTTTGTCCATAATTCAGGTCTTAAGACGATCATCAGTGCACTAATGGATGCTGTGATGCATCTTCGAGATGTGGCCGTATTGACCCTCTTCATGCTCTCCATATTTGCTCTTATCGGAGTGCAGTTGTATCGGGGAACACTTCTTAGAAAATGTGTTATTCCATGGCCAGGAATAAACACTACTGCTGGTGGGATCACTTTCAGCCAACTTGTAGACGATATCTACCATAATAGGACTTTCGACGAAGACTTGACCTCCGAAGTTAAAGGCATATTTAACAGCACATTCCCTTGTGAGCACATAACATTATAAGTAAAAACGTGAAATATAGATTGAAAATATAATTCCAATTTCCGATTTCCCTTTCCAGCCTTTTGGGATAATTATCTGAACAATATGGATGTAACCAAAAGCGACAAATTTCAACTCAGTGACCATATGGTGACCTCTGTTTGGTCGGCGCTGACGAACTATTCTCGTTGGCAAGTAACGGAGTATTTCTATGAACAAAGAGGTTCGTTTATTATTTGTAATATTTTTCGTTAATAAGTAAATTCTAAACTCAATTTAACGGAGCAGCATTTACATTTTCCCACATATCTAACATTCTAAATTGGGCTCGAAATATAAATCCTTTCAATTATAACTTATTTTGGCCTTTGGATATGGAAGGTACCGTAAGGTTTTCGTATGATTTAATGAGGCATAGAAAATACGGTATTACATTAGCTGAATCACTTAAAATCGTGTCAATGAAAATCAAGTAATCAATATCTAGATGCCCCTTCTGACTCTCCATTGACAGAAGTATTCAGACAGTATTTTCACGGATGTCTCACATGGCATGACAAGGGAGACATGAGCCAATATATGCGTTTCGACAACAACCGAAAGTCAATACAAAACTGGCTCGGTCATTGAGATTACTGGCGTCGAACTGAAAATGGAAAAAGAACAAACACATTTGACAGAAGATATGTCTCGTATTTAGCCAATTACTGATAATTTTAAACAAGCTGAAGCCATTCCAGTTCATGGCGTTGAAAATAAGAATTCTGATTTGGTATTTACAGATTTAATTTTCAAATTTATAAAAATAAGAAATTTATTTGTTAAATAATTTCTATTCATTAGCTAATTTTTATTTTTCTATTTTTAGCAAATTGGATGTCTCCTCATATGGTTTGCCGAAATCTTACAGAGTAAGATAGATGATCACTTATTATCAATCATTCTTATAAAGTGAATTCACACATCTAATATATATACATTTGAATTTACTTTTACTGCGTAATTGTATGATTAGTATTTTCTGCCATTCACGAATAAAACTAAGTCAGACTGGAAGCTCTTCGACTGACAAGTAGAGTCTACAAAACCTGTTGCAATATAGTTAAAAGCAATACCCTCAAGATGGATGGAGCTTACTTCTGAGGTGGCCTCACACACTACAATAGAGGAGTAATTAACTAAATTGTCTATTTTGAGGCAGTTTGTGATCACCTACATCTTTGCCAATTTAGTAAGATTAAAAAGTAGCTTTATGCGACATCTAGGAATTTTTCTTGAGGAGAGGGCAAAACAGTTGTCAAATAATCGTCCTAATGAATTGAGAACCCAGAGGTTGCTTGTAATGAATGTCTTGGTAGATCGCCTCAAATGTAGGTATTTTTAGTGAGTAAATGAGATAATGGTAGTATTTCAATTACACTCGTATCACTATGTCTCAAGGAGCAGTTATCACATTATTAGAGCCTGGAGGTCTGGACACCACAGTATCCCTTTAATACATACTCCAAAGACCCACACTGTCAAGCAAAACTGCTGAATAACATAGCATGCGTTAAAGCGCTCATTTTAACAGACATTGGTATCATATTCAATAATTAGATAATAGTGGCAAGAGTAAATAATTAGTAGAAACAGAATTGAGTTCAGGATTAAATGGAACTGTTTCAACATAATAATAATAATAATAATAAAGTGGAATGGATTATTTTATTTCAATATTAATTGATTGGTGCGTGGCAGCAATAGAAATGAAATGAAATCGGTCACTGGCGAACGGAGCATTGGAAAGATCTCTATGTTTGTTATCGTATCAATTAAGTACGCCAATAGGTTTGCTATGTAGGAAACGTTAGTTCAGCTCTTCATCGATCAAGGTTCAACGATCTTGACAAAATGACAACTACCTTGAAGCATCTAAGTGTATTATTCGCAAATTTAAAACCATGTTTGAAAAAGTTAATTTAGAATTCATTTTCTCTTAAAGACGTCCAAAATATGAGACAAAATTCCGATTTCCTTTGCAGAGAGGGCAATAGCACGTGTCCAGTCGATTTTATTTGCAAGCAGACTCGCGTTGGAAATCCAAATTTTGGATACACAAACTTTGACAATTTTGCCAGTGCTCTTCTCTGTTCCTTTCGGCTCATAACACAGGACTACTGGGAAAGTCTCTACCAATTGGTGAGTCGTTGTGGTCAGCATTCGTCAATACTTATTGGGTGTTAAATAGCTTAAAATAGTAGAGCCACACTGGTCTACTATGTACTTCAACAAAAGTCACAATCAATTTTCAGCAATCATAGCATTGGCAGATCAAAGTGCTATTAAAGCTGCTTTATCTTCAGCTTTGTCCTGGTATTCACTTTACTGTCAACCCGAATTATGTTATTACCAAAAAAATGGATCGTTAGGACTTGGCACATATGCATATGGCCACCACAAGTGTATTAAAACACTTGTCTCTAGGGGGCATAATAGGAGAGCTGGGATCGCACATAAATTTACCCTTGAAAGCGATGTTAACAGAATGTGTGGCTATTACTATCATTGGGCATACGTCATTAGACAGTTCGTTAAGCACAGACAGATGGAAATATAAGCCTGCCCAACCCTCCTCTCTATTTATTTATTAATTTTGGTTGAATTATTAATAAAAATTTCATAATTAGCAATTATGGAGGCGGCTGGTACTGAGTAACAGAATTTAGCGCAAACAATTAGAGGGCGGTGGCTTGGAATTAAAAAGTTGGGGCAGCAACGTTAAGGCAGTGAGGAGTCATCTATATCAATGGATTTTTAAATTTCATGAGTTATTCCTAATGTGAATGAAATAAATTTGCTCGTCATGTAAATGTGTTCTACGCTGCTAGTCATGTTCCTTCCGCTTACTAAACTTTCTTTTCTAAAACAGTTTGAGTTCACTGAATCACGAATATGCTATTATCTCCGCTGAGAACAATAATTTACAGGCCTGTATCTCCGAATCCAGCTGCTTCCAGCTGTTTCGAACGGCATTCAGTATAAATTCTCTCAGTCCAAAGATGGGTTGGGAGAAGAATGAATGACTATAAATTGCTTTCTGGCCAATAAAGCGTTTTACAATGTTTATTTTCTCTTTGTCCTTTCAGGTTCTGAGAGCTAACGGACCAACGCATGTATTCTTCTTTGGAATGGTGATATTTCTTGGCTCATTCTACTTGCTAAATATTATTTTAGCTATTGTTTCAATGTCTTATGAACAAGTCTGCAAGCAGGACATGGAGTCAGATGCCCAGATAGCCGCAGCAATATCGGTAAATGGCTGGCTTTATTACTAGTAATTTTCTCTTGCGAAATAATAACTAGGCTGAGGTATGTTGATAAGTGGTTTATGGAGTGCCATCGATTTCATACCATTTAATTTTACGAAAAAACTCACTTAACATGTTTCTTTGTCTTTTAGCAATGTGCAGAAGAGGGTGAGGAACAGGAACACTGTGAGGTCACAAAGAATACAACTTTGGATAGCAGTAATGCCTTCCATTATTCAAACACTTCACATCGACATTCCATTCCCACCACCAAACCTCCACTCACAACAACAAGAAATAACTTGGTAAGATTTTTAATTTTGAGGAAAAGAAAGTTAAATCAAACGATAATGAACAGTTTCGAGATGAAGAATTTACCGGTCATGAGGTCATTCACCACTAATTCAGTTCATTGAAATATGCATGATCTCAACCATTTTTAAATCGTTATCTTAATTTCTTATCATAAATGCAATACTATATATTCGGTTTAGTTAAAGACAAAGTTGGAAGAATTGAATTCAGTGAATTTACTTTTGGTCATAAAAACTGATGTACTAAGAGCACATTTGCGTGTTTTCGTAATTTGGAGGACTCTCCTACGAGAGGGGGAGGTGGTTTAGGTTCAGATAGTCTAGCTATTGCAACTTTTTCCACCCAATTTTTCCGAACGGAGGCAATTTGTGTGGAGTTTGGTTTAGGAGGACAAAAGTGAAATCTCTAGAAAGGAATTGAAGGTCAAGGAGGGATTGGTAGTTGGGATAAAAATGGTCTATCTGAAAAGATGGGACGATATGAGCTTTTGAGATGAATTAAGTACTTTAACGTAGAACATCTATTCTGCGGTTTAAGTCAAGGTTTACTAAATATTTGGTCACATAGTGAACAATGATTGAGTTCATTTAAAAAGACTGAGAGGACGTTAGCTTCAAACCAGCCGATGTTCCATTTTGACTACTTGTGAAACAAATGTGCCCCAATTTTTAATAACTCGACAATGCCAATCGTTAGGCAGAATGAACAGACTGCTCCTTGACTGTTATTAGCATAATAAATTAAATATTAATACATGAGGAATCATAAAATATCACCAAAAGTACGCTCGTGTTGCTAATGATAGAGAAATGTGTTCCATTTATTCGGCAACTCATATTCTGAGGTGACGGTTCGATTTTCCAAGAGGTCTCTGGTCTCGATCCCTTAGCCATATGCAAGTTACACCTTTTATAGTTTTTTGCCAAACTTTTCTAATAACAACAGGGGAAAGAGAATGCTTGGTGAGGAATTGTATTCCATGAATTTGTCATTATCTTCATCTACATATGAACTATGATAATTATATTGAGCCTAGGATATGTTCATAGGCATCTCATTTGGAATTACCATTCATTATTATTATACGGAGTTGACATTGCTATTTTTAGAAAGATATAAATTTGAAATATATAGTCACTACAATCATGAATTTAATTGATATTTATAAAACTATGGAATCTGAAAATATAAATAGAGGGAGATATTAGTAAAGAAATAGTAAAATAAAGATATGCGGTTTATCAATTTTTAGGGCAACGAATAAGTGAATTGGCGGATATAATTTGTTGCAACGTATTTCAATGTTTCTTTATTCAATTTGAGGTTTCTATCCACATGTCCCCTTACGAGTTCAGACGCTCTCTGTCTACGATCTTTTGATGGAAAATTACTAGTTGTTTTGGAAACAGGAAACAGAAACTCTTTTGTTGAAGTTTTCCTCAAATGTCAACAATTATCCTCTTATCAAAAAATTGATTTCACCGAAATGCTATTTGAAATAAAGTATTATCTAGCATCAAGGGTTCATAAGTACACTATTTGGTGGCAAATCATCTTTTCTTTCTCCCTTGAGGTAATCTCGAAGACGCGAATGCCAAGAAGATGGAAGAGTGAAAATATCCTGCTCAAACAGGGAGACATGATATCACCTAAGTTCTGGGAGAGCGCTGTGCTTTTTGCTGACGAATTTTCAGTGGAGAACATGTCCTTTGAAAAGGGACTAAATTCACTGTCCCCGGTCACAAATAAGGAGCGAATCTCTCTAGTTTCGGCTGAGTTGTAAGTTACCCTTATTTCCAAATGTGCATTATCGTGCTCAAAGAAATTTGATTCTATAAGTTTAGCTTAGTTATTGAGGAAGTATCGCTTCGTAAGAGGTGAAGCTGGGCTCTAATTCACCACTTATTTACCCATTCATTGAACACACAGATAAATACGCTAAATAGTCGAAAACTACAAATTGAACTATGATTTACTTGAACTTTTATTGCTTTGATCAAGCAAAAACTTAAATTTAGAATAATTGGAAGGGAGGGGGAGAGAGGAGGTTCCATTGATTCCAATAAGTGGAGGCAAAGATTTGAAACGTTTTCGATTTATCGAACATCAAGAGAAAAAAGGTAAATTTGTTCCATAGGGTTTGACCTGATCGATCTTATTATTTCCATTGAAATGCCAAGGCTAAAATATATTCGCGTTCATAATACAGATTTTTAATTGAAAAGGACGCCAATTGTCCGTTATTATTTTATATTGATTTTACAACTTACCTGCGTTCCATAGAACCCTTTAAATTCGTTTGAAGATAGAAAACGCTATAAACAATGAGTCGTGATTATGGCAATGCCTTCATCATCTTAATTACTGAGTTTTTAGTTTGTTTAGGGAAAAATTTGCAAATAGCATATATGAAGTATTCTCCATTCAGTTTAACTGAATTTGCTACTTAAAATTGCCGAAACAATTTATTTATTCAACTCTTCGTGTAAAGAATTGAAGAAAATAGTTAAGGCGATTTTCCATCAATGCACGCCAGCGCTTGATATTATCTCGTCTTAACTTCAGTTTGTTCAAAGTCGTATGAGGATTGTTTTTGTCTTTTGCTTTCATGAATAACACGTTTTCATCATCAAAATGAAATTATTGCGTCGAATCTGTCATGACATTATAATACTTTTCTGACTTTTCTCAAATCTTTGATCTGTTTCTTTCAGGTCTAATATCAGCGAAGCTTCTATTTTAAACCAACCTGAGCAAAATGCTTTTGGCAATGGAAACTCAGATGCCATCACGATTGGTAAGTCTCTCTTTATATATATATATATATATATATATATATCCCCTAACAAAACCAGCGGTCTTCTTCAGGACTAGCAGTACACAAATTTCCTTTTATTTCAAACGGGGAAAATGACAAGTTCGATTGGTTGGTGTATATGAAATGAAGGAATGGATAGAGCAATCGGAAATTGGAAAGGGGAAGCGCCAGTATTGGGCGTCAGAAACTCGGGACTTAATAAATTTTTATGAATTTCAGTATAATAAGGGAGAGAATTGATTTCAGGTCCATATTCATTGTCATCTGACAATTATGAGTCAGCGTTTGAGCACATTTAATAAATTGAACTAATTTATTCAATTTGGAATCGAGAACAGCATTGACACATGATTCATTTATACTAGCATCAGCTCTAGGTATTTATATCTGTCTTCTTCCTGCTTGATTTAAATTTGAATCATTAAGAAATACTTACTATTAGTACTATTTTAATTATTTTTTTGACGTGTAATTCACTAGATGAGAGTCGTTTTAAAGTCATAACTGAATAAAATTATATCTAGTTATGTAGTCGGTTTTTTCTTATAAACTTTGTAACATTCATTATAATTATTTCCTTTACGCATTTTTTTGAAATTAAGTCTAATGTTAACCAAAATAATAGTCAATTTATCGTCCCATATGGCCTCATCATCGTCTTTACACATCTGGTTATCTGTTTACGTCTACTGTCATTTAAAAATATACATAGTAGAAAATTATTCTACTCAAAGTAATTTAAATCAACTCGGCTCAATCAGTGTTATTATTACTACTACTATTATTATTATTATTGGCTCAATCAGTGTTATTATTACCATTTTTATTATTATTATTTCCTTGAAGAAAGTCAGTGAGTTTGCAGGTTTTATTTATGGCAAGGCAACCGAATTAAAGGAACTGAGATCGACAAGGTAATAAGTGGGCACTGATGTTTGAGCACTTTGAATTATGGCCGCTTGGATTCGAGTGCATTGAAAAGTCCATATTTTCCTAAAGTATAGAAGTCACTTTGCAATGTTCAGTGTTATTTGACCTTCAGACCCATAAATTAAGCTTTTTACGCTACTTAGAGCCATTTTGGCAAATTAGCATGCCACATCGATTTCTCTACATTAGTTGAGACGGGTAAACAACATGTTTAGCGTGAAACAGGTCTTTCAAATTGAATCAAATTTTACCATAAATATTAATTACAGAAGAGTTGGATCAAAATGGCCTGGCTTTCTACTTGCCCCAATATCCCCTGGCATCGGAGGATAAACCCCTGAATCAGAATTTGACTGAATTTTCATTAAGTGGACCAAAAAACTGCCTGAAAACTAGGACGGACAAAAATCTGCCAACGCTCAAAAAACGACTCTGCTCAAGCATCTGTGGCCAACACAAGGAACTGCCGGAGCATCCAGAATGCTGCAAACAGGTACTTAATGTATTCCTCAATTATTTATTTATTTATTTCAAATGGCAGGCGTTATGATAGGTATCATTAGCCCTTTAGTTGACTTCGGGCTTCACAGAAAGGAAGAGGAACATCAAAGTGGCATAAAGTCGAGAGGGGGGGACAGAATAGTGATTCACAGACGTAAAAAAGACAGATAGACACAAAGGTAGAAACACGGTGAGATGAGTACTGTGGAAGTAGTCGAATATGAAATGCGGCGGGGTCATGGTAGTTTGAAGTCAAAAGTCAACTGCCAGTTTATAGGCTTTTTTGCCGTATGAGAATACGTTGCCCAGGGTGCACCACGTGGAGGTAAGTCTATCGCACACCCCCGTTCCCCAATTATGAATTAGAAAAAAACGCTTGTTGATAGTGAAGAAGAAAAAATGCACCTATTTCCATAAGAATTTTAACAATTATCCTCTAGCGTCCTGTTTGTTAGAAGAAAACTCTGTTTACCTTCTCACATCTCGCAGCTTATTAGCGCAGACGCTTACTGGGCAATTTGTGTTTCGTAGAAAATGAAGAGCAAAATATTTGGAAAACATGTTGGTCGAAGAATATTTTCTTTTATTTAGACACAAATTGTTCTGATAACACAAATTCGTTACTAAATCGACGTTTATTTTGGCCAAAGTTAAAAATATTGCCAACAAATTCAGCGGCTTATTCCAATATTGTCAGGCAATTATACGCTAATCCTTTGTTCAAATCCTGCCCATTGACTTAATGGCCATTGCACACGTATTGTAACTCGGACTTCATAAAGTATGTTCTCATCGGTTTTGGTCCGATTTAGTGAGAAATCAGCAGTGGGGAGCGATTCTAATTGATGATAAGGAAATTGAACTAAATTATATGAGTAGCTACATGACATCTTCTCTCTCTCTTCTCAAGTGGAATGCTGTGGACATCTTCAATGTCTGCTTAAAAGTCCTAGTGCATCCCTTAACTCAAATCAATAAAAATTTAGGGAGATTAGAGAATTTATGCACCGTCAAGGCAACTTCTAACAATAAAAGTTACTCAATGGAGTTGACGATTTGTTTGAATCCGCGAAACATGAAAATCCTTGAAGGAAGTGAATTACCAATTTTTTGGCAAAAGTGCACCTGTATTCTTGGTTAGTTTACATGGAATTAATCGGCTGAACCAACTTTCAAAAGCACCTCTGAGGTTAAGGTTTTCCACAGAACTAGCTAAAGTGAATAATAAGGTTTAGAGATGACAGAGTTTGTGCATTAACTCTCTCAGCCATGGAAGTGTAAATTCAATTCTTTACAAGAGTACGCATCAATGTAGTGATTAATTATAGAATTTGCTTTTGATAAAAGAATTTTTGGCCATTTTGCAATCTGGTTAGGGAGTTAAAATAAGACAGCAATTGAAATATTTGGTAACTGGAATTTACATTATGATTACTCAAGGAAGTATTCAGTCCAACATTACCTCTAAACTAGTCCTCGATTTCTGGCCGGACAATATGTTTCAGATTGCTTAAAAATTACTTCATTATAAGAATCAAGGGACCGAATTTGTGCATTAAGCTCCTCCACCATAATTCTAATCTTCCGATCTTTCAGCTCAGTTTACCTGCGCGGGTATGGCGCTACATCTCCAAACAGACCGAAGCAGTATTATGTGGATGGACCTGCTGTCCCTGTTACTATGTGTTTCGACGCTATGTCGGCTTCTTTATCCTTGATCCCTTTGTTGAGCTCTTTATCACACTTTGTATCGTCATCAATACCATTTTCATGGCAATTGACCAGCCCGAAAAGGGTGAAGCCCTTACGCAAGCTCTTCGAATAGCCAATTATGTAAGGTTATTTTGTTAAATAGCATTTTGATTTTTATAAGTAGTGTGTATGTTTCCGGTTGATAATGGCTGGAAATGTTATAAGAAGTAGAAGAACGAGTTACTGGCATTATTTTAAGGCTAGAATTTTATCGTCTTCAAGTGCAATACGAACTCTTTATCTGTAGACTAATTTATGAAGAAATTGTAATCACATAAAAGAATAAGACTTTTGAATTTAATTTACATTTCAATTCATTACCACAGAGGCAATTTTAACTGTCATTCGATTGCTTTGTTATGCTCGAGAGTAGCTCGCAGTCATGATTTCTAGAGTACTAGATTATCGTTTTTTGAGTTTCCATGCCCACACTTGGACATTCAGAATTATCTGCAATGATCGAACTCGGGAATTAAAAGACTGCTCAGCTTATTTTATAAATTTGCTAAATCCTAACTTTTGTATCTAACATTGCTGTACTTTTGAAATAAGATAATAAACTGAAATCGCCTTCAAAATGAAGGTAGCAAAACATGAACGCACGGTTAACTATGAAAAAGAAATATTTTAATTTCAAATGTATCCAACTAACTTATTTTAGGTTTAAAATCGTTTAACGACAGAATTGATCGATCAGTGAAAATATTTTGTAAATATATTTGGTACTAATGTAATTTCGCTTGCATTTAGTTTTTCACAACAACATTCACCGTTGAAGCAGCTCTCAAATTAATTGCACTCGGAGCCAAAGAGTATTTTGCGGATTCATGGAATATCTTCGACTTTGTTGTAGTATTCTTCAGTCTAGTTGAAATTCCCCTAACAAACGTTCGTGGACTCTCTATTCTTCGTGCATTTCGTTTGGTAAGCGATTTTTCGGCATATTGTATCAATTTTTAAATACTTTACTGCTAAAAGCGTGTTTTTTTCTCTAGCTAAGAGTTTTCAAACTGGCGAAGTCGTGGCAGACAATGAAATTGTTATTTTCAATTGTCGCGATGACTCTAAATGCATTGGGGAACTTAACAGCTATTTTAATGATATCTGTCTTTGTGTTTGCTGTGCTTGGAATGTCCCTATTTGGGGAGAATTACAAAGAGTTCACGAATATCACACGGTTTCCCGAAAAAGGTGGCAAGATTCCTCGTTGGAATTTCTGTGATTTCACGCATTCCTTCATGATTGTCTTTCGAGTGCTCTGTGGTGAATGGATTGAATCTATGTGGGACTGTTTGGAAGTGAATGGTTGGAGTTGCACAATATTCTTCCTCATGACTATGGTCCTTGGAAATCTAGTAGTAAGTTCTGTTCTTCGTGTCAACTATAATTACTTTATTATTTCCAAGCTCATTTTGGTGAATATTAAACTCATTTTTATTTATTAAGGTAAAATAATCATTGAGATTGCAAAACATTTAATGATCGGTCTGTATAGGTTCGACTTTAATTAAATGATAGAGCTACTAACTTTTTTTGAAATTCAAAATTTGGACATTCATATCTGCGCAACATTCATTGGGGTTATTAATTAGTGCCAAATGACACAAACATTAACACCGCAATATTGATAGCAAACAGAGATATAACATAATTTTACCATGCAAGCATATCAGCGATTTTATTGCAACTATAATAGGCGAAATAGGTGGTAAATAGCCTGTGGTTTACATTAGGCATAAAATCAATGAAATGAACGGAAGGGGTTAAAATGAGCCAGATTATCATAACTCTATGGCATGTTTCATGCTGTTCCACTGAAAGCTGAAGAGTGTGTTTCAAAGTTGTCAACGCTTTTCTCGCGATGGCATATAATCCGTAAGCTGATGGACTGCATGCAGGGAAATTTCACCCTCTAAATCATTGGAAATAAAGCGAAATGAGCGAAAAGATCGACCAATCTTAACTAGACGTTATTGGTCAATAAGGACTTGGCATTGTATACTAACATCTGCCACAAACAAGAGTAAGACGAATCACACGAGCTTAACATTTTAGATAGTGGGCTGCTCATTTAGCAAATGTTGTACAGCCCTGATGAGGTATGACTCTTTGGTACCTTGAAGTGAACCTCAGCCCACTTTCGATCACCTTGTCATGTCAGTTGTTTCCTACAATTATGAATTGTGTTTGTGTCATAACTTCTAGTAACAATAGCTATGAATTGATTTCTACGACTGCAGAACGTTAAAGGTATTTATGCACTAAATAAGGTAATTAAAGTAATACTATTTCCGTATCTGCACGGAGGAGTACATTTGTATATTTGAAAATATAATTGGGTAATGACCTGATTGCACATAGATTCACAGTTATGTAGATTTAACATGAACTATTTCTCATGAAACCTTAATTTTCTTCCAGGTACTAAGCTTATTCCTGGCGCTCCTGTTGAGCTCCTTTAGCGCCGAAAGCTTTCAAAAGGAGGAAGAATGCGGAGATCAAAATAAACTTCAAATAGCTCTTGATCGTATTTACCGTTTTGGAATTTGGATGAAATTGAACATTCAAAAGATTTTCACCTACAGAACTAGACGACGTTGCTCCCGAAGTAGGTTAGTATTCATTCATAAATATATAAAAAATATATATTCCCCTTTTTTCAAACCAATAAATTTAATTATTTTAAGAAATAAAGAGGTATTCTGGCAAAGCAAAAAATATACGTATATTACATAGCTTTATTTTAGGAGTGTAGTAAATTTCTGCTAATATTTAATTATGAAATTATTACAAATTTTAAAATTCTTGAATAAGGTAAGATTTTCATTTGGCTTTGTTAAACCTATTTAATTGGATTATATAATTTTTCATATTTAGCAGAATGAAAGGAACAAATCATGTGATTCACGGGGCTCACATGATTCATTTGGAACCAGCGGTGACGATCAATAATAACATCGAGGAAGGAGATGTGGTCCTACAAAATCTCATATCACTTGAAGAGTCAATGACCGGTGAAAGGCTAATTTTATAAATCGTTTTTATTGATCCTATTTATAAACAGTGAATCATGGGACTTCCTATATGACCTATTTAGCTGACTACTCTCCACTTACAGTACCACATAGATACCGACCTTAAGAGTTCCACAAATATTTATTTACAGCAAATGACAAGCGTTTTGATAGTTATCATTAGCCCTTTAGTTGACTCCAGGCTTCACAGAGGGGAAGGAATATCAAAGAGAAAAAAGTCGAGAGGGGAGGGGGAACAGAAGAGTGTTTCATAGGTGTAAACGAGACAGACACAAAGCTAGAAAAAAAAGGTGATTTGAGTACTGTTAAAGGGGTCGAATATGACATACAGTGGGGTGATGGTAGTTTAAATTCAGGGATGACATATGTTATGGTTCTGTCATAACATGAGTAGACTATTTTGAATACATCTGAATCCTGCAGTCCATTGCCGAATATATATATATATATAGTCAAATTTGAAAGTGCACCGGAGGTATATTTGCCAATTTCCTACAAAATTAACGTTTTGGCGTTTTATTTTAGAGATGGAGAAGCTATATCCATTTTAGTACAATTCGCAGCAAGTATTTTCGCAGAGGATTTGAATTTGGAATAAATGAAGACAATCAAGAATCTATTGTGAATTATTGGATTGCATTCTTAGAATAAATGGTAGTTAAGATCGGGTTCTATTAAACTTTGTGCCAATGAGAAATATAAATTCATTTTGGTTGGATCGGGTTCTGAATGGTTCAAATAAACTGTATTAAGTCGCGTTTGAGCCATGTGAACGGCACATTCAAATTTACTGTAAAGTCAAGTTAGCACTTCAGTTACACTTTAAGCCTAGACGAAATGGTCTCGTTCATATGCCCACATTTTTGCCGAACATGTTCGCTTCATAACATGACTGGTCATGGAACGTCAATTAAGTTGGAAAAAATTGAAAGAGGTAACCGATTAAGGCCTAGGTGTAAGTCCATCGACCAACATGCTTATTTGTTCCGGTTTCCTTAATTCATAATTGTAAAGTAACAAATTGTGTGAAGAAAGCTCCCATTTCTTATGTTGTCTGCATGACCAAAGCTAGTATGTCAGTATGCTTCGTCGTTCTTAAGACAAGAACCTAATTTCTCATGCTAAAACGTATTCGATCTGACTACGTTCAGAATAATTGATTGCTGTCTGAGTTATTGAAGCTTCTCGTTTTCATTGCCCTTTTTAATTGACCGAATCCTACAAGAGAATTACAAAGCTATTTATGAACTAATCACCGGAGTTTACTTAGTTCATGTGAACGTTAATTACAATTATATAATAATCGGACTTTTTAGATTTCTGATAAGTTTTAGGGATCATACATAACTTGCGATTCACATTTTAACTTATAATTAATACATCTCTTAATTACTTCATTTCCAAGTTCTACTGCATTTTTATTTAAAATTATTGCTATTTTTTTCTTTTGAAGCATCAGAACTAAAGTTCAAGTCACGAAGTTGTGGGCATTCTCCTGAAAACGTCCCAATTTTAAGAGTCGAGTAAGTCTCAACATTAAAATAGAATTATTAGCTCTATGTCACTTGCTGCTTCATTTAGAAAATGCCCGTATTCTTGCAGTTCTCCAATATCGTCAATACACAAGACCTCTGATACATCATCACCTCATCAAGATTGTGAAGGCAATGAAGAGAAATTTGAGGTGCGCGAAAATGATCCAGAAGAAGTTTTGGAGGCGGAGTCTGTGGACATGGCCTTTTGGGAACATCCAGAGGATTGTTGTGCACCATGGCTCTGGAATTTAGTCAGTCCACTTTGCAACGGAGTTCTGGGTTCCAAAGTTGGAGCAGTATGGAGACGTCTCAGACAAAGCTGCTACTGCATTGTGGAAAATCGATATTTTGAGAGCTTCATTTTCCTCATGATCATCATCAGCAGTGGGACTTTGGTAGACATATTAGAACATTACTCTCTTATTTAATGAATTATTGCTTAGTGCCAAATTAAATAATGAGATTATTAAGCACTGGTAGGGAAAGTGGAAATTTAATGTACCTTCGATAATGACTGTGAAAGTGATCATGATTGTTAATTGTCAATAATCAACATGTCTTATTAGGTTCCTGATTAAAAAGAATACGTACTTAAGAGTTTAAAGTACAATGCTTATCTCTTTGACATTTTTGTTAATGCATCATAATTGATAATTAAGCATCACTTTATTTTGTCCAATAGGTACAAAAAATAGTAGGTTCGATTTTCACACCAATGTTTAGGTTGAATAATTGTAGATATCTTTAGGTGCTGGCATTCTTGTTTCAAGTTTCTGAATTTTCACCGTGGTCTCATGCTTGATTTAATAATGTTTAATTTATGATCTCAAAGTTACTTTTAAGTTGCCACGTAGAATGATCAATTTTCCGATCATTGTCTTTTTCTTTGGTATATCGGAATCATCTTTTTATTTTAGATTCGATTTTTGCATCTTCCACCAATAACTGGTTATCTAGTGTCTTTGCAATACTCATAGAGGCTTGAGATGCTGACAATTATTCATGTTCTTCCTGTTATGGTTTTTTCAGAATTGTACATGTTTGCTTAAATGAAATTAAATCAACAATTTACCTAAATAAATCAAACGCCAAATAGTAATTATTTGTTTACGAGAATAGTAAACCGTTGTCAAATCGGCTACCCATAAATCATCGGAATAAAACATCTTGATTGTGCAGCGCATTGCTGCGCTAATAAGCCTTGACTATACCCAGGAATCTCAATGACAGAGTCTCTTATGTTTGGTTAGGCTCCTGGGATTAGCTAAACTACCACAGACTTACAGAGGAAACAGACTTATTATATTGATTAGGCGTCTTGGCAATGTCCATTGACTGCTAGGGAGACCTCTAGTTTCGTCATGATAAATTTGTGTTCCCGCACAATTGATGGAAGTAATTCAGTTAAACAATATTTAGGTATACTACAATAATTTCTTTGATCTGGTATATACATTAAAATTTCACTGACATACCAATTTGTACAACTGGTTCAAATAACTGATCCAGTTTGCTGAAATCAAACCTTTAGCTTAGCATTATACGTAATTACATTTCATTAGATTTTACTCCAAAAATCTTAAGCACTTTAGTGATATCTAATATGAACACAAATATTGCTGTTCTTGTGAAAGGTGACTAATTTTATCAGCATTAAAATGACTATGAGAACTGGATGTTGCTAATAAGCTTACCATTCATTAACTACAGTTTCCTTGGAAAAGGCGCTTTCTTTTCAAGGATACACATCTTCTTAAGAAACAGGAGATAAATGGTGCCTAAAAAATACCTTGACGCATTCCATTGTAGGCTCTTGAAGACAAGAATCTACCTTCCAGACCGAGATTGAAAATGGCACTAGATTACATGGACAAAATCTTCACGTTCATTTTCTTAATGGAGATGCTTTTGAAGTGGTTCGCCTACGGGTTAAGGAAATTTTTCAGCGATGCCTGGTGCTGGCTTGATTTCACTATTGTTACGGTGAGTGTTTCACAAAGTATTCTAAAGGAATTATATGATAATAACGATTATGATGCTGTCGAATAGGAGTAAATAAAATACATGAAAGCTGAAAGTGAAAGAATGCCTTATTTCATTTATTCTAAAATGAAGTTTTAATTTCATCTAATAAATTGCATTAATTTTATTAAGGTTTTAACAATGACCATTTTACTTGCAAATTATTTTCTAAAAATTTACTTTTATAGCTTAAATTTTTATTTCCGCATTTTAGATTGCTGTTACAAGTATGGTCTTGAGCTATGGGAAGACAGACGGGAAAACAAGTATGAATTCCTTTAAAGCCATGCGAACTCTTCGAGCTCTGAGACCACTAAGAGCTCTTTCAAGATGGGAGGGAATGCGGGTTAGTTATTTATTTGCACATTTCACACTCTGCAAACTATACTACAACCGATCCCAAAGTTGATAAGGATTAAGAAACTTGCATTTGCAAATGAGCGGAGACGTGGGGCTGGAAGCTATATGCATTAAATCCAATATAATATGTAGTAATTAGTGTATTAGTAACATACCATTACTAACGGAATGGAAAATTCAAAACTTCATCGTGGAAAAGGAATTGAAGCTAAACAAAGAAGAATACGAGAGAGAAAACAGATTTTAAGAATTAAGTAATAAATTGAATCTCACATCAGTAATTCGTGAGATTTGTACAGTAAGGCATCACAAAGTAAACTACAAGCCCTGTAAGGAACTCAATGTTCCTATTCTTAATGGGGTAAATTCCTTTCATTCTTCATGGAGCATATGACTAGTTCACTTTGATCCTTTAAACACTCTTTTCAAGTTCCCATGCAATTTTTTGCCGTGTTAACAGCACTCATAATGTATACATATTCACTCGTATATCTACTAAACGTATTAGCAATGCTAGGTTTCCCCAATCGCTCTTATTAATGTCAAATATTTCTGTTTTCCCAAATGTGAAGCTTGAATTTAAAGTTTAGGGGGGGGGGACGAGAATTATATTATCACCAAAAGCACATTTTATGGGCAGCAGTTCGTTTATTTCAATCACTCCTATTTAGCAACGGCAACCACTCTCCCTTCTTAGTATCCATATTTGACGAACGTAACTTATCTTTTGATATTTAAGAAATTTAATGAGCATAATGGGGTCAAATTAAAGCATAACATGTTATTTTATGTCCCATGTGTCTCGTTTGATTTTATCATGATGACTATTACCAAATCTTTTACTACTCTAGATTGTTGTGAATGCTCTGCTTCAAGCCATTCCATCTATTTGCAATGTGGTCTTGGTCTGCTTGTTATTTTGGCTCATTTGCTCCATTATGGGAATGCAACTATTTGGTGAGTTCTTCAAGGTCGCCAATTTTTATTTACATAAATTAAGTTATTCAAACAACTCTTTGTGTACTGCCTATTACCATTTACCTGGTTACTATTCATTTATGGCCAATTAACCTTATCCCTTCATATCTAAACTTTTTTCGTTCTTTTTGTCCTGGTAATGTACTTTAATATTTTAGGTGGAAAATTCAGAAAGTGTGTTAGTGAAGCAACCGGAGAGCGACTACCGGCTGATCAGTATCCTAATCGAACTATTTGCGAGCTGCATAAGAAATTATATAAAAACGTTAGTTGGGATAACTCAAAGATAAATTTCGACAATGTTCCCAATGGATTTCTTGCGTTGCTACAAGTCGTAAGTTTATTTTACTACTAAGCAAGTTGTGAGCCAATAGAACTTGACATCTATTTGTTTAGTGATGGCACCTGGATTGAGATCATCTGTCGTTTTTCCATAACTTTTTGGTAGGTATTGCGTTCGAAAGCAGTTATGCTTTTCCTTAGCTAATCAGCCTAAATATTCATTAATATATTTATTTGCGAATATTCAAATTATCGAACGAGTCAGCTCACTTTATCAATAAAGCTTCCACTTGATTTGTTACCTCTAGGATTTTGAAAAAGGGGAGATCTTCGAAATAGACAAATAAATTTCACTTACAATAATTTAATTGAAAATGTGATTCAAAGCCCTTGCAAATATATTAATCAAACGCGTACAATTTCCAAATATTGCTTTAGTTAAATGTGATTTTAGATAAAACTCTACTCAATTGACCTTAATCCAAATCCAACGTCTTCTTGAGTCTCCATTTGGTGTCATTAATATTACTCCTTTTTTAACATTGCACAAGGAAACACACCAAAGTTAGACTTTCTTATTTTTTAGTTGAAGATAGGCTCTGTCTGCTCAATAGAACATATCATTAATTTATATGGATGGAATCATCCAGTATATTGTGGTTAATCTACACAGCTTCCAAATCTAACATTACGAGGTTGAAACACGCCAGGGCTAGTCCAGAGATTCGATGTTTTTTATCAAAATAGTTTCCGATTACATTGCTTTCATTCACGTTAGTAAATTGGAGAAATGAAATGCAAACGGCAAATATATTTTGGTTGTAGTGGTCACTTTTTCGTTGGCATGAAGCCCAAATCGTTGGTATTTATTTACACCATTTTATGATGTTTCAGCAGAATGCTGAACAAACTCATATTCATTGCCACAAGAGAGTGACCACATTTCAATTGAGACATTTGAAAGTGCTTTCAAAACATTGTTGGAGGTTAATGCACCTGAATCCCTATGGTATTCATTAAGATGGTTTATTACGGGTATAAATATTATTTTTATTTGCCTTTCACCAACGAGAAAAATATTATCGGCATTTAAAAATGCCCAAATTATACAAGAAGGAAACTTATTCGGTTAAATTATCTATCTTGATAAACTTACGGCCTATTCAAATAAACCCATCTCTTATTTCCCTCTAGGCCACTTTCAAGGGGTGGATTGAAATAATGGCAGACGCTGTGGATATAACTGATGTAAGTCAAATTTGAAGGCAAATTTCTAACAGTCTACTGGCATTTCAGTATGATCAACAACCCGTGTATAACAATGCCACCAGTTACTACCTATTCTTCATACTCTTCATTATTGTTGGATCATTCTTCACACTGAATCTCTTCATTGGTGTAATTATCCAGAATTTTAACATGCAAAAGAAAAAGGCATGACTTTATATTCCAATTTAATAAATAGATTTACTGGGTTGTGCGCTTAGATGAATCAATGCCTTTTGCATTCGTTTTAGGCTGGCGGTTCATTAGAGTTATTCATGACTGAAGATCAAAAGAAGTACTATCAAGCTATGAAGAAGATGGTCAGAAGGACACCACAAAAGCCAATACCAAAACCAAAGGTAAGTTTTTATCTCTTTAAATATTTGCTTTGAATTGTGGTACTTCCTTTTGAAGAAAAAGTTGAAGTACCACTATTTTAGTCTGACGTTGTGGTAATTAATGTTCAGACACCCAACTGCTATTGAAACGAATTAGAATGTAATAAGTACATTGAATTTCTCCATTCCACCGACTTAACTTGCCTATTTTAAAATAAAACGAATTAGTAAGACTAGCCATTCCAATTAATCAAGTGGTCAATATTTTATGAAAATAAATTCAATCTTGAACTAGTGGAAGCTTTGAAGTGACATTACCAATAGTTTAATCGAATCAACTTATCAAAAATTGCCGAAATCGAGCCAAAAAATTCGAAATCCGTAACATTTGGACATGGTACTAACTATTACAAAAAGAATAGTTAAATTTAGATAAAATTTATTTGATATTTCTGCCAACTTCACCATCCCACCCCCCACCCCCAACACCCCTTCTCTGGGGTTTCCGTTTTATTGTCCTCCGTGTCCTTCCATGATTACAACTCGTAAACTCACTTTTATTCAATAACAAAGGGTGATAATACTAATAATGGCGATCGGAACACTGTTCTATCCCACAGTTACCGATTGGGCGGCCAACTGATATTTTATTGTCTACAAAACTGCTCTGATTACTATCGGGGCATTTTTGATTGAGGACATTAATAAAACCAAGATATATGGAACCAAATTAACTTCAGCAGTGAACATTTTAAATAGTGATTTTATATGCATAATTTACTTCAAAACTGATAGCTTTTAATTAATTTGATATTGTGTCATTATGAGAATTATTAACTGTATTTGTCGATTAGAATAATGTCTAATTATCGCCTCGAATCAATTTCACATTCTTCCTATTAGGCAAAATTGTTTTTTTCACTTTTCAGCTAAAGGTTTCACGATGGATATTTAAGATAATTTCAAATCGTAACTTTGACCTCTTCATCTTGGGAATGATCGGTTTGAATACACTCATTATGTGCTTCGAACATCATCGTCAATCTGAAGTCATGAAGCATTCCATGGAAATTATCAACAAAGTTTTCGTTATTATCTTCACTATTGAGTTCGTGCTTAAACTTATCGGTCAACGATGGTATTACTTTAAAGATCCATGGAATATTTTCGACTGTTGTATAGTTATATTCTCCCTCGTTTGTAAGTTTATTTTTTATTTTAAGCAAAACTCGATTCATTTTTTAAATTTTGTTCAGGAATGAGGCATATTTAGATAAATCGGAAATAAATATTACTTTAGAATATGTACTATTATTCTGATAATCTATGAATTATGATATCATGATATTTTTTAAAGAAAAATAATAAATAATAATGATAATCAAGGCTATAGTTTTGCCAAAATAATTGCATATGTTGACAAATTTCTTAAATATTATTTTAAGGTTGGGGTGTGGAGGACTTAATGACCACACTTCCTGTTCCGCCAACTACAATTCGAATCGTGCGGCTGTTCCGCGTTGGTCGAGTGCTTAGATTGGTTAAATCAGCCCGCGGAATTCGCACCCTCCTATTTGCCTTGATCGTCTCGCTTCCAGCACTTTTCAATGTAGCCTTGCTTCTGTTTCTCACTGCTTTTGTTTACTCCATTGTTGGAATGTCCTTCTTTGGCAAAGTTGCCTACTATGCTGGAATTGATGCTGAATTCAATTTTGAAACATTTTCACAAGCATTCATTATTCTGCTCCAGATGTCTACTTCTGCAGGTTTCGATCAATTTTTAACATAGTTCAAATGATCATAAGTGTACTTGGCTTAAAGGGTTCACAACAAAAAGTCCCAAAGGTCATACTTTAAAGCTCTTTAGAAGAGTCTGTATTCTTAATTATTCACCTAAATGTAAAAATTCTTGAATTTCGCATTGCCATCAAAATCATCTGCTGGCGATTAATCATTGGTGAAGAGCAACTTGTAATCCATAATATTTTTTAAAAAATGCGTATAGGCTGTAATAAGAATTGAAATAACATAAATGCTCCGCAATTTGAATAGTGTCTAATGACAGCAATGGAGCTTTACAGGCCCCCATCTTCCAAATTTTTAAGAGCTAACATATGCTCGATTTCATTTTGTTCAATATTTTCCTGTAAGCAGTTGCTATTTACTGAACTTCCCTGCCAATATTGGGTGTAGATTAAGACTCCCTATCAAAGTCATTCCAATATATTGTGCAAGTTATAAAAAAGATGATAGTGAAATTCGGGAGGAGAACGTTTTATAAACTTTGGAAAGAAGGTTACTTGGTGCGCTTCCTTATGGGTCAAAATTAATAATGATAGCAATATTGTGAGCTCACCACTAATGTTGGAGAATATATTTGAGTGTGTTTTTGTTTTGCTTCAGGTTGGAGCGCAGTATTTGAAGGTCTGAGCAATACCGATCCTGCCTACTGCAGTATGGAGGAAGGAACTTGTGGCAACTTCCTTTGGGCCACCCTATTCATGGTCTCCTACCTCATTATTTCGTTTATGGTCATCATTAACATGTACATTGCCGTCATTCTGGAGAACTTCAGTCAGGCTACCGAAGATGTCCAGCAGGGTCTTACCCAGGTTAGTTGGTGTGAAAATCGTGCTTTTTTGTATTTCACTTGTGATAATATACTAGATCAAGGGGAGTTAAAAGGTCTGAGTAAATGCGTTACATTGTGAAACCTCAAATAGAGAAAATTGATCAATCCATTCTTCTTGCCTATATTTTAAACAATCAAAGTTGGAAAATTATTCTTAAATTCTTAGACGTTGTTTGAATTATTTTCATGCCTTCTTGACAAGACAAGCAGCTGATTATTTGTTCCTCTTGTGAAATTTAAACCCATGGAAGGATTTTTGGATATATTGATATTTCTAGGCCATACTTTGATGAAACTCTAAGGAGATGTTATATTGTGGAGATTTTTTTAGACAAGCAATTAGCAATAGGTGCGTTTTTTTAATTACCGATATTATCAACATGTCGGCAGAGAAAGAATTGTCTCTTTTGTAGATATAGATAGTTTAAACGGCTTGGGAGTACGTCGAATTTTTTTAGTCTTAAAGAAAGCCATTTTAATTATATTATTTGATCATTCCGTTTCAAATTGTAATATACGGAAGAACTGTCTTGATATATTTTATTTAAACTTGAGAGTTTATAGTTGGGCTCTAGTGTTGCCATTTTTGTTTAAGGACGAATTCGACGCGTTCTATGAAGTTTGGGAGCTTTATGACACTCACGCTCTCGGATTTATTGAGCTCAAGTACCTTGAAGAATTCGTTGAGAAAATTGGTCCACCATTGGGAATTCCACGACCCAACAGAATTCGATTGGCTTGCCTCTCTGTTCAAATCTGTTCACATGATAGAATATTCTGTATGGACCTACTGGATGCTCTAACTCGAAACTTTCTCGGTCGTCTCACAACAGAGCATCCGGAGACCCTTGTTGAACAAGTCGAGATTGGTGTTGCAAACACATCCACAACTCAAGAAGGTGGAATTGATCGGAACAACTTTGTAGCTAAAGCTGCCAAAGAACCTGTGGTGCCTATCAGTAACACCTATGAGCGACAAAGGGAGCGTATGGCTGCATACAAAATTCTATATTTCTGGAGGAGGCATGGGAGACGGAAGTTATCCGGAGAGAAGCTAACTTGGAATCAACAATACTATTAACCGACTGTGGAGATTATTTCCTGAAAATTAACAACCCATCTTCCTGCCTACTTGTTTATCTGCTCTTCGCGTGTATTCAAAAGAAACAACGCGACTATTAATAACTAAACAAAAAAGTTGCCTACAGACACTATCGGTGGTTCATGAAAAGTTGCTTTAACGCCGAATGATTACCATATGGCTAGGTACAAGTTACTTTATTGTTAATCATAACTTCTATTGGCATAATAATAATAAAGTAGTGGCAAGCGGTGATAAGAATTAATATATAACAAGTGCTACCACAATTATCACCTGTGGCAATAGTAATATAGTCCCTTCCCAAAAAATGAAATCATGAATATAAATTCGCTTGCTTATCGAAACGGAAGTGAAGTTGGACAAAAATTGATGAGAAATCAGTGAGTTGATTACTGTCCTACTGATGATAATTGGCAAGGTGCGAGTTCTAGAGAAGCCCATAGTCCCTTCCCTTGTCCATGATGCGTGTGCCCGAAAGTGTTCAACTGGGACGTAGGCCTGTTTGGCAAGGTAGAGATCAACGTCTCTTTGTGCTACTGTAGCTTTATGTATATGATGTAACAAATACGTTATATAAATGTCTTCGGGGTGACACATTGAAGGATTGATGGGTTATTTAAATTCTCTTATCGGAATTAATATAAGAGAAGTATGGTATCTCATTCATTGATTATCTGGACCGCTAGTTACATTAAGATTTACCAAACTCTAGAATACATTTCAGAAACCGTACAGGTTTCCACTAAACTCAGTGCACTAAGTTTAATATGAGCCCATATATCCGTTCAAAGACTTTTTGATCCACAACGCAGGACAGTTAGTAGTACTTCGATTAGATGAAGCAAAAAACAGCTATGTTGATCTGTATTTCCACCCCATTAACTTTCACAAACCAGAAAAAAGCATTTGATATGATTAGTTACCTACTCGAGCTCAAAATAGTGAGATCAAATTATGAATAGATTAAAAAGAATACGAAACTTGTAAATGTTTGTAATAGGACAAGTGATGCGATGAAAAACGATTAGGTCTACAAAGCAGATTTAGGAAATCTAAGTTGGTTGAGTTAGAACAATGGGCTATCCTGAAAAGAGGATGATCAACTACCCACTTCTAATCAAACCATTTACGCAACTGAACAGAACATAAATTCAGAAAAGCATGATGACAACACATCGTTGAGTAAAAAAGAAGTTTATAAAATTACCACAAATATGCACGAAAATTAAGATTTCGTGTTTTAACAATTAAGATCTTCAACATTCTTCCAAATTAAGTGGCTAGCAAGAACGGACGGTGTCGTTGCTCTTACAGCAATTTTAGCAACTTCCATATCTTCCATTGAACCGCGAAGAGGCTAAAAGACAACAGATCATAGCAATCATGCTGACAAGGGGAGGAAAAAAGGAGATAAAAGGTCATTACATGTAAGCTATTAAAACCAAAGGATGAATCTTTCCCCAGCGGTTGTTTGATCTGACCTCTGATTCGATCACAAACTTCCGAAGATTTATTTACATTTCCTATTAGTAATGCGGACTCAGATGCATCCAAGACGACATGAGAAGAATCTGAGAGGGTGAGAGTACCTAGGCGAGTATTCATCCAGCTCCCTATTGCCCTGAAAAGATCATTTGAAACAAAATGGTAAATTCTTACGCGTTAATATTACTATTCCCATCAATAGTGTTATCATGAGCTTCCTTTTGAAAGGTATCGAGTTGATTCATTTCCAGGGATTTTAGGTCTTTAACTTTCTCGAGAAACTCTCGATTATTTACCATTAACTTTGTCAAATGATTCACTGTTGAATCTAAATGCTTTCGAAACTAAAAAATTGCAACATTAAATATAATTGGGAAAATTACATTTTCGTGACAAACTGGAAGATTAGTGTCAGGGTGCACAAAATTTTGGTATTTTTCCGCAACTCGAGAACGAACATCCTGGAAACAAGGACTAAGATTGTTATTAATCCAAAACCTTAATTTGCATTTGAAGCTGTGCTATCTTCAAATTGTATTCATCTAGCTCCCTTTGTTCTGAAAAGTACTAAATAATAGTAGTTAGAACTCCTTACTGTTAGAAAGCATTTCTAATAATTGCCCTGAGTTCGAACTGGAAGAAGGAGAAGCGTAGGCAAAATCTAAAGAGATGCGATTTTGAAAATTTAGGCTTAGAAAATACCATCCACATCCTCAAAACGAAAGAAAAGACTCCGAGCTTCAGTCGATGCAGCAGATAAAAAGGCTTCAATAATTTTTTCTTTATCGGGAAACATGCTGAACCTAATACTAATAAAGAAATAAATAGAGGAACAACAAACTAGAATCGATCTAGAAATAGAAACAATTTTTTGCCTATATAAATTGTATATATGTATTTACATTAATAATGCAAAAGTAAAAATAAATTCTATATAAATCAGATGAAAAAGATAACGACATTCCACGTATAAGTATAAAATATTCACTTGTAAGGAGAAAAGTGAGGAAATTGTAAAAGACTACACGGAATGTGTCAAGGTAATCAAGTTGTAATGCGCAGATCTACGGATTTAGATCTAATTCCGAATACACACATTTAAAAATAAGTTTCAGCAGCAATTATTGTTAGTCTAAAATGCAACAAATATATAAAGAAATATTTCCCTAGGAAGTTCATCTAAATAATGCGGATGCATAGGTAAATTTTATACTAGAAAATTGAAACTGATTTTTTGAAAGCTGAATTAAATTTAGTAAGCATTTTAAAAGTAGTTGTGAGAAACTATGATGAAGTAGTGAGTGGAAAAAGTATTTCATTATGTGCTGTCGATTTATGACATATTTTTCACTCAAAATTTAACTAATGCATATACCCATATTTCTAATAAATAGGAAAAATCTCATCTCTCACTTTCTTAATTGCATGCAAATATAACGACATGCAGAAACGGGTGATGCATTCTATTAAAGCAAAAAAATTTTCTTAAATCTTTTTAGTAGTTTGATTTCATAATCGTTTTTTGCAAAAATTAGAACTTTCTAACAAATTACAAAATGAATACTATGTTCTCCTTCCATATGATTATTTAGATGCTGGCTACATCGATTCCATATACCTGGATTAATATAAAAGTGCTCTAGTTGGGAAGCTGAGTAGGTATAGCATACCTAAGCCATGGAAGGAAAAGTTTGATTTATATGCTTTTAAGAGAGCAGGCATCAACTGCTACCGCCTTCAGATACTCAAGCAAATTTTCATGAACAATTTTAAGTTAATTCCTTTTCAAAACGAATTTCGATTCCGAATAATCGTACTTATATTAAATTTCAACTGAATAAAAACTTTTTTATGAATAACACTTTGGCTTAAGATGAAAGGTTTAAAAATAATAGATAAGTAATATAACAAATGTCATACACTGATTAAAACTAGTTCTCTTGTGAAAAGTGCTTATTCCTTTTTCCACTCATATAAATATGTAAAACAAATATAACTGTCCGTTATGAATACGTCTGTATAGATCATAACTTCATCTGCGTGGCTTTTTCTTCGAAATTTTTTCCAATTTTTGTTTTAGACGTTATTAACAATATTGAAAATAGCAATATTCAATTGATTATTCAAGTATAATTTAGCTTTTTAAATGAAAGTGAACAAAAATCTCAAAATCAGCTGTTTGTGGCATCGGTAAAATTTAAACTATTTAACATCGAACACAATTCACCTTACTTGACACGGTGGTGTACCTGAGAACGCAAAAATAATAAAATCCTTTCGGTTTTTTTACCTAGAGCTATTGGAATAGTTAATAATTTGTTAATTAGTTTTATCTGTTAATTACAAAGTCGCTTGATTCGAAATGCCTTTACAAATGAAAAAGTTCGATATGTGTAGCGACATTGAGCTCACAGAGAAAGTGGGAATGAAGGTAAGTTTCATTTTTCTAATTCAATTTTTAGGCTATTTTTGAGCTTTTTAACAAAACTTACAGAGTGAATCATAGAGAATTAGAGAAGTCAGCTAGCAGTCTGAAACAAGTGATCGATAGAGCCAATGGTATCAAAACGTCTGGTGATGCTGTTGAACTGTTGGGAAATGTTCTTAGCGCCGTTAAAGGCTTAAAAAGAAAGGTAAGCCTTTCCACTTTAGTCTCAGTTGTAGGCTGATGCGATTTATTCGGAAGAACTGGATTTTGTTTCTTCTTGTAAGAAGAGAATCGCGCATTTGGTGGAAGTGGCGGAATTAGAAGAAGCTGCACCTAAGCCTCGTACGCAGGCAGAAAAATTCAAACCTTCTAAAGTGATTGAGAGTTTTATTTCCGAAAGGGAAGGTACTATTCCTTCCCAAACTCGAACCACGAATACCATCCCTCCTCCCCACTATGATAAACCCGTTTTTTCTTCGCGGTTTAATCGACTTCTTGCCGAACACTTGTTTGCTATGGGTCATTATCACTCAGCTTTGGCTCTAATTAAACAAGTCCCTGATTATGACAAAATATTTGTGCGAATTATTGAAGAAGCCATCTTTATTCAAGAAGCTTTGATTCGTGGAGAAACCAAGCCCGCTCATAAGTGGTTTAATGAATCAAACTTTCGCTTGAAACATTCGGATGTATATTTTATGATTTTAGCTTTAATTTGCTTTCGGACTATTCGAGTTTTTACTGGGTTTTATTTTCTTTTAGTTAAACTTTGACTTTGACATGCGCATCTTCGAGTTTTACCTTTTAGTACGAGATGATAAGAGAATGGAAGCCGTTACGTAAGTAGCTAACTGTCTTTATATTCTAATATTATTTCCATTTATCGGAATGTTATTTATGCGGCTTAATCAGGACTATTTTATTAGCTTCACTGTGCCACATTGTGTCTATTACCTTAACCATTTTTTGAAGCACGTGTTTTTTTTAATCTGAATAAGGATACACCAATTTCATTGTCACAAGTTATTTTTGTAATTTGGATTTGTAGTGTTCATTTTAATTTCACGCACGTGGGTTTTTAGATACTGGAGTTTCACTTGTCTTTATTTCTTTCGATTTCACTATTTGTTAAAGTAAGCTTGTTCAGACTCATTGTTGTTTCATGAAAGTACGAACGATGACGAATAATCTTTTGGGGAGACAGGCCGAATCGATCGATTTGGTTGATGGAGTTTCTTGCTATCTTGGTTATTTACATACGCTGTAATTTTCAGAGAAAATTCTATAAATTTGTGAATCAAGGAATCACTTCAAGTATAAATTAATTTGAAGAGCTTTTCTTCGATATTATGGTCAAATTGCGAACCAGATTTTTGGCATATGATCTTTTAGTCTCTTAAAACTTTGGCTCAAATCGTTTTATTTTTATTCACCAAATGGCTCATTGGCCAGTTGATCACTTTTGTCTCTTATTGCAGTCAAAGACAGGCAATGCCTTTTGTGAATTCTCGTTTAGCTCGGTTCTTCCCCAAGCTTCATTTATGATGATGGAGAACTGTTGCAGATTTTTCGAAATATTTCTTTCTTTTCTCTGGTTTTAGATTTAGTCCTTAGCCGATGTACCTTTTCGTGCCTTAAGGGCTTGATTAACGCTCATTTTAGCCCCTCTCAAATCTCAGTCCTATTAGTTTTCTAGTCCTTTTTACTTTCGAATTCGTGAATGAAATACTATGCATATCTGGTTCTGTGAAGTTTGGAATTTCTAATTTTCATCATTCCGATCATAATGAAGGAAATCTTCCATTAATTTCACAAATTAATAGGCTTCTTGTCGAGTTACTGAAATGTTTATCAATGTAGGTCTTGACTTTTCTGGATTTTGGGAAAAATTCTCAGTTGAAGATTTAACCTTCCTTGTTTATCGTATGATATATAACGTTTCTAAATTAATATTTTTCATTCAAATGTACTTTTTTCGCTTTGGGCTTATTTCTGTTCAGATGTTTTATCAGTCAGTCAGTGTATTTCGTGTTTAAAACTGTCTAATGACCGAGCAATTTCCAATTTAGATGTTTCAATTTCGCCTGTGTCACCATTTTAGTCATGCGCGTCAGTACTTGAATAACTTCAAGGAGTCGGATCACTACAAGCCTCGTCGTCTGGGTCAGGCCATGGTGCTTCTTATCATGCGAACTGCTGATGAGGTGAAGGAGAAGGCCGTAAGTCTAATCCTTTTAATTCTTCCTGTGGACGAATTCCTTTTCCCCTACAGTGATTTTCAATTTGTAGAAACAAAACGAGTTGAATGAGGAGTGGATAGTTAAGCGTTTCCACTTGGCTCTGATGTTTTTCTACTCCTTCATTTCGCCAACACCCTTCTTACTAACTGTCCGTGCTGGAATGTCTGCTATCAAGACGCCGTAAGTTTGCACTATACTGCTCATAGGCTCTAAACTTCTTGGTTCAAATTCTGATCGCATTTTGATAGACACGTGTCTATGGTAGAGGGTAGTCGCTTATGGCCATCAAACTCCATGCCCTCTAATTTGCAGACGTTGACAAATTCATTGGCGCACATTCCGCTCTTCTTGCTGTGCAATGACCTTATATAACCTTTACTTTCTTCCGTTTATGAAGTATCTGACGTGATTCCAATGGCAGTTTATCTTTCGTCATCAGATATCTACCCTATGGTGGATTGGTGTTTCTGATAAAGTGGTTCAATTCTGAAAAGTGGTGTGTTTTGATTAATAATATGTCTAGGTACACTACTTACTTTTGTCACCTAGTTGTAATATACTCTATCAGTTGCACACCCTGGAAATTTACCCTTAAAGGGTTTGAGTGCATCTGTGCTTTGTATTACGCTTCATGATCCTTAAGAAAAGGTGCATTTCCTATGTATAGACCTCAAAATTTCTTATCAGGATGGTCTCCTGGTTTCGCTTGTCCTTTGTGCTAAAAACTCGTCGAATGAAGTTTTCGTGAATATGCATAAAACCGGAAATTGGAAAATCCCTTCATGTTTGTATATCTTCACGGTTGGCCATACTTCCGCTCGGTAATATATTAGGTCCAGTTCCGGTTATTTCGGAAACTGAAAGTCTGCTCCTTTTCGCTGCTTCAGGTTTTTTTTAATAATATTGCCTTGGTTCTAGTACTGTCTATTCAATAATTAATCTTCTAACACGTGAATGCTAATTCCGGTGCGCATTTGTTAATTCTGCGCATTAAATATCTGAATAAATTCCCATCTTCCATATTTGTAGGTACATGTTTGATTCCGCCCACATCTTTTTTTTCGGAATCTCAATTCCCGTTTACTTGTACTCAGGTTTCTCATTATGTTTTGTTTATCTTTCCACCTAATCCTTACTTCTTTTCATATTATACTTATTGGTCATTTCATAACTTTCATTGGCCCTTTTACGGTCTATAACTACTCAGACGTCTTGGTAGCAAAGTTACCTACGTGGACTTGGATATTCGGTAGATGATTGACTACCTCATTAACCAATAATTGCAATGTTGGATCCTTCTTAGGTTGTGAATGTGGGCACTCAAATTCGATGATCTTGTCCATGAGAGATGCAACTTGTTAGTTCCTTTCAAGTATCGGAAATATTTCATTAAGCTTTATTAACGTTCACTGGGTTGAGTGTGTCTAGGGTAGAAATTTGTGTTGACTTAATTACCGCTAGCAGTTCTAAGTGGCACTAGTTTTGTCTGTCGGTCGTTATCAAATGTGTCACGAGAGTAGTATTTTGTGCTGGGTCATCAAAGATTCATTTAGACTAGAAGTCGCGGGATCAATAAGCGTATTGCACTGATCATCATCCAGCAGCTGTTTGACCAAGTCCTAATCGAATGATATCAAGCGAACATTCCAGGAGGAATATACTTAAGTGAAGTTGAATGTAATCAAGAGATTACTTAATGGATAATGAAATAAATTTAACTATTCTAGCTACATATAATAGGGTCACTAGTTTCTGGCAAGCCATTGAGCATATATAAGTAAACAAATAAATAATTCATGTTGTTTATTCCTGAAGCCGAATTATACCCCACTGCTAATGTTCATTTTCCTCTTTGCAGCTTTTGTTATCACGATGAATCACGCAACCCGAATTGTGTTGTGTGCCATCCACTCATAAACCGCTATGCATCAAACCTGGTCTTTGGTCATCATGATCAATCCATTCTCACTTGCTATCAAACGGGTCTCATCATGGATGAAAACAATCCACCAATGGCTCTTCCTAATGGATATGTTTATAGTCAACGTGTAAGTCTATCGCTCCTATTTTCATTGACAAACCCCACTTTAATGGAATAAGTTAGTGCGGTTTAGTTGTGTCTGTGACGTGGCATTGACATCGCATATGCCAAAATCGATTAGCCTGAGGTTGATGAAGGAGGCAGTCGGGAATGTGAAATCTGACCACTCCACTCATTTGCAAGAATGAGGCCAACTAGGTAAACTCAGAATGGGACTAAATGGCTTTGATTCGCTGCAGCTAATCATCAATCCGATTGTCTACAGGAGTCAGTGCTTTTTTTACTCCTATCAACTATATTTTGTTTCGTTCCAACTCTTGGTGTTCAAATGCAAGCGTATTTATGGGAGTATGAACTCGCCCCATTATCAATTAATAGTGAATAAAGCATTCGATAAAAAGTATAAAGCACTGCGAGGCTGCGCAAAGAAGCATCCCCGCCTAAAGGGAGTAAATTGGCAGTTATAAGCGTATTTCAAAACAAAATACGTGTAGGCGAATGGGTAACTACCTCAACTCATTTTGATCGATGCTTTTTCTTGAAGCTATTAATTTCCTGGTGTTGCAAAGTCCGTTTCCGCCACATATCACCTGAATGCCACTTTTTGAGGGTGCGATCTCTTAATAGAAGCAGTTGGGTTGTTCTTGTTTTCGCCTTCACGTCCGTTGTTTGTGCCCGCTCTTACCAAAAAGTTTGCCTATGTTTATTTTTTTTTAAAACGAAGTGCATGTTTTGCAGGCCGTTAATCTCTAATTGGATATGTCGATTGGATTACATGCTATGTGCCAATTAATCAGGCCCATTGTGCTTGTCTTTTCATTGGCGTGCTATAAAATAATTCAATAATTTTTGCATGAGTTCTCAATGTGGTAGTGCCCAGAATAATAGTTAAATTTATAAATGTACTTGCTTAGAGCCGATAATTATTGATGAATTTGACACATTTTATACACCTTAAACTTGAGAACATTTTATATACCTCTTAGGTTTCTTGTTCTTATTCTTAACTTACCATCTAGTCATTCAAGCTTACTGTGTATGCAGTTATTGCTTTCGAGGTCGATTCATATTGTAAGCTAATTATAAAACGAGCCGACAGCCTGGAAATTTGAGTAGGGCTTTGTAAGAATAAAGTTCGCAAATATCCTAGTTATTGCGTACGTGGCAATCAGGAGTTGTAGTCAGAACTCTTTTTTCTCAACTCAGATCTTATGCGGGAAAATGTGTCAGTAATTTCTTACAATTTTCATCGTTAACTAAATTCCGTCGTATAAGCTTGACACGAAACGGGTTTTTCATACCTCTCTCTCTTCAGTGGATCGTACGCGGTCTTGCTTTATTCAGGCCTGTGTGTGCCAGTCGAAATTTGAGATGCCTTTTTGAGGTCTTAACTTGTAAAAGTAACCTTACTTGTTTTATCATTTCTATAGGAATTCACTTATTATCATGATTACTTCTTTTAAATATTCTTACTTTAACTTCGGTGTATTGTAAAGCTTGCGATAAGTGAAGTAGGTCTTGGATATTTTTTGCTAAATACATTTTCTCCTGTCCGAAAAGCTATACTAAGTGTATTTTATAAGAATGTTCTAACATTGCATTGTGATAAGCTTTATGACGCTAGTGCAGTCATGAAACATGATTTGTAGCTATGAGATAACGGCCCATCAACTAAGTTCTAATTGTTAAGAAAGCATTTGTAAAAACTATTCAGATTCCTATTAAAGCAGCCATCTTTGAGTAGCACAAGTGATGGAGCTTCAAATTGTATTGACAAATAGATGACAAATGAATTCATTTAGTTTTTGCAAGGGACTTGGTTTAGGCATGATTAGTTTTCTTTCAACTTGGTTTTTGGTCCTTTTTGGTTTTATTGCAATCTCGTTTTACAATCATCATAAAAGGCATTGTCCTAACTACATTTTGACAGATAACTTGTTTCAAAATAGTGATTTCATTGGGAAAAAATATAACTACATTGTCTGTAGGCCTTTCAATTGACAAGTAATTGTTGTGATCTGCCAAAGCCTTTGGGATTGTTTTTGAATCAGTTCAAATGTGATGTGTGATGACTAATCCCGTTGGTCTATTGTGTTCGAGCGAGCATTGGTCTGTGTTTATGTTTTGTACTGCATTGTTGCCGCATTGACTATTAGACTGTGCCTTAGTATCTATTGGGAGAGATGTCAAACTAGTGATTTAAGCGCAGATCCAAATCTCGTGTATTTGAGTGTTATTGTTCATGCGTCCACTAAATGAATGGGGTCGAGTTTGTAATGTGCCCAGTTCTCGTGGATTAATATTGATTGCCTTTTAATGGCTTCCATCGAGGGTTTTTTGTGAAATGGTGATTGCACTGTGTGAGCTTAATGAGTCATTTTTTCCAATGTGACTTTCGTTCAGTCGAACAATTTCGAAAATTCTTCGCTTTGGAAAAAAGAATAAATTATGGGGGCTATTATGAAATCACACCTATTAAGATTAATTCCTTTATTCTATTTGTCTAAAATGTATAAAATCTTTAAAGAAAATTTCGTTTCTCAGATTTGGGACTACTTATGGTTCCTCTAGTTCTTATCTTGAAACTCATTATTTTGTGGTTCGGTATGGTCTATTTTAATATTGCTATTTGAGTGAGAATGGTCAACCAAATCGACCGCCAACGAGTTTTTGCCATGTGTTATTTGGTAAACAAGTTTTCTTTCATTTTTTTAGGGAATCGAGCAGCTCACCAAAGACGGCTTCGTTCGCTGTCCTCGTACAAACGAGGTTTTTGAGGTCTCTCAAGCTAAACGCGTTTTCATCCTCTGAATGCCTTTCACACCGCGTCATTTTCTCCATCGCGTTCTTATCTTGTTATTCATTTACCCATCAGAACTGACGGAAACGTGTCTTTTGGTTCACTCGGCACACTGATCTCTCGCTTCAAACATATTCACATACTTATCTCTACACTGTCATCCCTTCTTCTTCTTCTTCATGTATATATGCATTATATTATTTGCACAAGCTAAGATTTTTGTTGGAATTAGTGATTTCGTACAAATTTGCTACCTTCGCTTTTGTGATATTCTCATTTAGGGCAGTTATAGTGAACTTTACGTGTGGGTCAAGAATAGGCGGAAATAAAATCGAAAATTGCTTCACATGAACTGCAGGAAGAAAAGTGGAAAAGTGATTTTTCCATAAAGGAGAGACCGTTACATAGTGGAAATAATTGGATTTGTAAGGCATATTCTTGAAGGCTTCTGGACTCGTGTATCAATGCAGCCGCTGTACCAGGTCGTGATGTCCATAAATTCATGCAATGTCTGCTAAAATTTGCCGATAGTTGGTTATTTTGATGAACTTATAATGAGTGATGACTCCGATGGGATACCATTTCTCCTGAAGATATTTTTCAAATCCGTTTTCCCTATTCGCTAATTTCGTATTTTAATTCTCCGACTGAAAATGGGGAGGAGGTTGGTCAAGTAGCTTTCAATTACATCTAATATATTATGGTTTGTATTCAATCTCATGGGAGATTCTTTCTGAGCTTGCAAAGATGGCTGGCTGCCTTTGTTAGTAAGATGATTCGACTCATTAGCTCTAGGCCGTAAGTTACTAGCCCGATTGCACTTCAAAATGAAAATACTTAACAGTAACTGAATCCGTCTGTTCAAATAAGGCACGCTTATTGATGAAGTGTGCTCTGAAACCATCACGCGCTTATTTAATCTTTTATTTCATACCAAAGTACTAAAATGAGTTCTGTACAATATCACTAACTTGTCCTCTGAATTGTCAATAAGGCCTCAAACCATGGCACCGTAAAACGTCATTTTGTAGCACAAATGCAATGGAAAGAGTGAGAAAACTGAATCGATAATGAAAGTTCTATCAACTTCACTTGCTTCATCAATAGAACGACAAGAAAGTCACAGAGTGTGGGAGGGGGTCATTGCAGTGTTATTCTACTCCCGTAAAATGATACACTGCATTTCGCCTTTTGAACGAGAGGAACAACATTGGTAGCTAGTTGCCTTTGCTTATTTGAGTTGACAATTATGCATACTTAACGCGTCACTTTAATCAGCTGGTTGACATGATCCGCAAGTGGCAATCGAACATTTGAGATTAGCCGACTATGACGCTGTCGAAAAATGTGACTGAAACGAAAAGGCCTTCTCCAATTCTTGTTAGTCCTGATGCTATGGCTCCCAGTATTAAGACGTTTACAAATTCCCCCAAATGGTGGCTTCTCGCTTGGCTACAGCTGATTATGACAATAATAGCCTTATGAGAGGGTTATCGAAAAGGTCAAATTCTTCAAAATTTTACTGATTATTACTGAATAAAACCCTCATCCGTTTTTTTTTTCTGACCAAGTACTTTCTTTGTAATAGGAAATAACTAGTTTTGTCATTGCAATAATATTACCGAAGAACTGGAATAACGCTTTCCCATATTAACTTTACAGTCACGTGGCCTTTTCAAAAATTTCATTTTCTATCACGTGTGTGAACTCAGAGTCATGCCCTATTGCACATCTCACTTGCCCCAAGTGGAATTATAACGAAAATTGGTTAATGATATCAACCCTTTCCAATTCATTAAAAATTTGTTCTATCTGGAGAAAAACTGAAAAGTATTTGGAAGCGGACTCAAATTAATATGTCGACCACACCTTTCTATTTACTATCAATTTCAAGCATAAAAGACAAAGAATATGATACTTAACGATGTGGATTGTACTAGTTTCTAGACATTTATTTATTTATATCAAATGGCAGGCGTCTTGATGGTTATCATTAACCCTTTAGCTGACTTCAGGCTTCACAGAGAGGAGGAGGAACATCAAAGTGGGAAAAAAAGTCGAGAGGAGGTGGGAACAGCAGAGTGTTTCAAAGACGAAGGTAGAAAGATAGAAAAGAGGTGAGGTGAGTACTGTGAAAGTAGTCGAATATGACATACAATGGGGTGAGGGTAGTTTGAAGTGAGAAGTCAACTGCCGGTTAATAGACTTTTTTGCCGTATGAATATACGTTGCCCAGGGTGCACCACGTGGAGGTAAGT